TGGTCAAGCCCTCGAACTTCGAGATCGCGTCGTCGTTTCTGTTCCCCTTGTCAGTCTCCCTGCACTGAGCTTCCTCGCCGTCGTCACCTCGGGGCGGGGGGGTGGGCGGGGGGAGATCCAAGGGGGGAGGTTGTAGAAATCGTCCTTCCTCCTCGTCGTTCCTCGCTCCAGCCTCGTCCCTGTTTTCCTGCCTCCTTCCTACTCGTACCCCCCCGTGGGATTGGAGCGAATTTTAAAACAACAGTCGCGTGCGAGGCCAAGATCTCAGCGAGGGCGCCGCCATCGGAGCCGTGCTGTCTAGTTGTTGGCGCTGCTACTGCTGCTGCTGCTGCTGCTGCTGCTGGCTTCTTCTCCGCAGCCGCCATGCAGCCTCGACTCTCTCGAGACACCCAATGGCTGCATGCGGCGACAACCACGATTGCGATGATTCGCCAAGCTCCCCCAAACATTGAAACGATTACACTATGGTATCACTATTGCTGCACATGGTACTTGACAACCTGCTATACAAACACACACACACGCACACGCACACACACACACACGCACACACGCACGCACACACGCACACACACGCGCACACACACACTCATACGATATCATACCTTTTTTGGAGAGTTGTTAAAAACACAATACACACCATGTTTTTTTGAAATAATCTTGAGCCTTCAAAGCGATGCAAGCGTTTCTAACCTAACAGAAAGAAGCCCACCCAAGGACCTTGGAGCAAGGTCCATGGGTCTTAACGCAAGGATCACGCCGTGGACCTTAACGTAAGGTCCACGGACCCAGAGGGGAGGAGGACAGCCATACTCGACGGGCGACGAGGCGACCTGCGCCGCGGACGCACCGGCGGCATCGGCTGCGGCGGCCCCGTCCCCGGCGGGGCTGCACCCGGCAGCACTCCGGGGGGAAGGACTGGGCGGAGCAGCAGCAGCGGCGGCAGCAGCCGGCCGCGGCAGCGGCGCTGGCGACGCCCGCCGCGCAGCGCCCGCTCCGGAGCGACGGCAGGCGACTGCCCCGGAGCAGCCAGCACCGGCCCCCGAGGGGCGACGGGCGCGGCCGGCGCTGCCCAACCCGCCGCTGGCGGCGGCGCCGCCGCCACCGGACCACCTCGAGGGGCGACGGAGCCCGGCGGAGAGCCCGCCAGCCGGCCCCGCGGCGCTGGCGGCAACAGAGGCAGCGACGAGCCGGCCGGAGCCCCGCCCAGGCGTGCCCAGCGCGCGCCTGGTCGCAGCGGCTCTCCAGCAGGCCGGCTGGGCGCGTTTCACGGCGACGGACCTGCCAGAAGGGCAGGTGCTCCTGCGGTGGAGCCGCGGGGAGGCAGCGCACGAGCGCTGAGCCCGGGCCGCCTGCCTGGCGAGGATGGCCTGCCCGAGGACCAGCCGGACTGCCCGGCGACGGTGGCGCTTGATTGGGACGAGTACCCAATTGAGCAGGAGTGCGAGGCGCCGGACCAGCCTGCCACTGCTTTGCGGGAGGAGGAGCCGGCGCCCGCGCCCGCGACGCCGCGGCGCCTCCCATCTTCGGGGCTGCGATCGCCGGCCCGGGCCCGGGCGACGCTGGCACGGCCCGCGGGGCGGGCCGCGAGGTGGCGACGCCGCCGCGCCAGCGCGACCCACCGCAAGCGGGCAGCGGGGGCGGCAAAGCGCGCCGGCGCGGCCGGAAGGCGGCGGCGCGGCCGGCGGCGACAGGCAGCGACGGGGCACCCGCTGCCGGCGGCGGCGATGCGGTCGCCGCCGCGCTCTGGGAGGCGGCTGGCCTGGCTGGCCTCCCCGTGGCAGCCCAGGCGGCTGGGCTGCTGGAGCGGGCCGCCGCGCTGCGCCCCTTCCCGGCGGCTCGGAAGGCGGTGGCGTTGCTGGCGGCTGCGGCGGGCGACCCGCCCGCTAAGGGGCCCGCGCGGCGCTGCTGGCCGCCCGCGTGGCCTTCCGGTCCGCCTAACGGGCGGCTGCTGCTGTTCGCGGCCGCCGTGCGGCGGCGGAAGGTCCGGCCGCGCGGCGGGCAGCGCGCCCCGCAAAGCCGGGGCGCGCCCGGCGGCTTGCTGGCCGCCCCTGCACTGCTTGCTCTTGCTGCTGCTTTCCCCGTTTCCTTTAAGTCGCCACGGGGCGCACCCCTCTTCGGTTGGTAAAAGTGGAGGCCACTCCCCAAGAAACCTCCCACGGGAAACCCAACCCCGAGACCCCAGGACGTCCGTCGATCTCTGGTGTGGGAACGTCGCGCTCTCCATCGCAAAACCATCGAAACCCAAGATATCAAGGGGCAGCCTGAAGGCAAGCAGGGTTTCTTGGCATGGGTCTCCACTGTACACGAGGGCGGCCCTCGTGTACATTTTCTACCGTTTTCGAAACCTGCCGAAAGGGATCTGCGGTACATTATATTCTGTACATTTTGTATAATGCAATACGACCCGTTTGCACATTTCTGCCCGTTTTGTATACTGTAATTCTTTTGGGGCCGCTTTGGGCACTCGGAGGGCCCAAAGCGGCCAAAAAAGAATTGCATTCCTGGCGGGTGTTCACTGCTGTTCGAGCCTCCGTCAGCCCAAGACGGTCCAGGAGAAGCCTTCCTCGATGGCCCCAAGACTGCCCAAGGGGCCTCCCAGGAGGGTCCAACTATGGCCCATGAGGCCCCTGCGAGGGCCCAAGGAGGCATCCAAGGCGGCCCCAAGACGGCCCAAGATGGCCTACAGTGGGACCCAATACGGGCTTGGAAAGCCCTTCCACTGCCCGACTGACCAAGCAGACGATCCCACGACGCCCCCCCCGACACCCAACATACTGCCAAGGGACCCCCAAGAAGGCCCAAGAGCCCCTAAGACGACCTCAGAGGGCCCAAAGATGGCCCAAGAGGGCCCCAAAGCACACTCAAAACTGCCTCCTGCCTCACACGAGGCCAAGACAGCCGCAAGACGGCCCAAACGAGGCCAATGAGAGCTAGTCATGTAGTCAAGAAGAAAGATATCACGTGTGACGGTTTCTCTGTTCCTCCTCCTGCTCCTGCTCCTCCGCATCATCATCATCATCATCATCATCATCATCATCATCATCATCATCATCATCATCATCATCATCATCATCATCATCATCATCATCATCATCATCATCATCATCATCATCATCATCATCATCATCATCATCATCATCACCACCACCACCACCACCACCACCACCACCACCATCATCATCATCATCATCATCATCATCATCACCATCATCGCATCATCCTCAGCATAATCAGAATCATCATCATAATCATAATCATCATCATCCTCATCATCATCATCATTAACATCACCATCACCATCATCATCATCATTATCATCACCATCATCACCATCACCACCATCATCATCACCATCATCATCATCATCATCATCATCATAATCATCATCATCATCATCATCATCACCATCATCATAATCTACATCAACATCATCATCATCAGCATCAACAGCATCATCATCATAATTGCCAACATCGCTATGACCATCACCATCACCGTCACCATGATCTTCAAAATTCTGCTCAATCACCACGTATCGCCATTATCATCATCACAATCACCATCACCACCAACAACACCAACATCAACATCATCACAAATGCACGGAAAACAATCATCATCATCCTCATCATAATCATTACTATCACATCTCTTCCAAGCCTGGAGACACGAGATGTCACACGTGACGAAATACCGCGCCTCTTCGAACAGTCACCAAGCAGAATGCTGGGCTGGCACGGTGGCGGGACTTGCAACAGGTAGCTGAATCTACATATCCACCGCCCGGGGAGCTGTCGCCATAGGATCAGGGCGAGCGGTGGATGTAGATATAGTTGTGCCCCAGGGGTCCCAACTACATTCCATGTCCACCGCCTGCCGTGTCCCCGAAAAACGATCTCCGAGGCAATAGTTACAGAGACAAGTAAATCCCCGACTCGGATCTCTTCAGCCCGCGCAGCGAAGCGCGACCCGCGGCTACCTGACGCCAATGCGGGAGACCTTGAAAACCAACGGTCGCAACCCGAGTCGACCATGCAATGTGCCGTGACCAGACCAGGTTCCGAAACGCAACGGGAGACGATCACTCCTCCCTTTCTTCCCCTTCCTCCTCCTCCTCCGCCGCCTCCTCCTCCTCCGCCTCCGCCTCCGCCTCCTCCTCCGCCTCCGCCTCCTCCTCCTCCTCCTCCTCCTCCGCCTCCTCCGCCTCCTCCGCCTCCTCCTCCTCCGTCTTCTCCTCCTCCTCCTCCTCCTCCTCCGCCGCCTCCTCCGCCTCCTCCTCCTCCGCCTTCTCCTCCTCCTCCGCCTCCTCCTCCTGCTCTTCCGCCTCCTCCTTCTCCTCCTCCTCCTCCTCCTCCTCCTCCCCCTCCTCCTCCTCCTCCTCCTCCTCCTTCTCCTCCGCCTCCTCCCCCATGGAAGATGACCAAAAGGGGCCCCCCGTTCTGACGTTGGCACCCGTGGGCATCATTGGAAGGAGAGGTGCCGCCATCGGGGGTGGGGGTGAGATGCTGGTGGCTTTTGGGCTCGCGCTCACACGCGCGTGCCGAAAACTCCCCAAACCCTGTCGCTGCACCGTTTTCGGCAACGTTCGGGTTCACCCAGTCGCTGCGCCCTCCCAACGCTCCCAAGACCCAGGCTCACGTTCCCAAAACTCCGTCGCTGTATCGTGTTGGACAAATCTGCCTCGGACAAGTCGCGATCAGGGGGTGAACATGCGTCGAGCCCGTATGGAACGCAAATAAACGATTACCGCGCACAACAACCGCAACTTGAAAACTTCCTCGTTGGCCCTGGCCTCTCCTACGAGACTTGCTCGACCAATGGTTCCACATTATCATCATTGCCCTTACGGCCATGCCTTTGAGAAAATGTGCGCTTGAAGAAGCCAATTGATGCATGCATGTCGTACGACGCGGGATGAAGCAAATCACATGGGAAGGTGACAACATTTCGCGCTGAGGCACAACAATCCGATGCAAAAGCGCCATCGGAGATCCATCCTCGAACTCCAACGAAATCGCCTCCCCACGTCTTTCTCAAATAACATCGGGGAAACGGAATGTCAAGCATGCAATGGGCGTGAGAAAACAAAAGAGGAGAACCCGGAGGAAGATAATCACCACAATTCCATTCCAAATCGAACCTCGAATCCTTTCAGTGGTCAGGCGTGGCCAGCCGTTTGAGCTGCCGCTGGCCGTGGGAACGAGAAACCTTCCAAAACGCAGAAGAAACCACAAAACGAAAACGTCGACCGATGAACTGCGACTGATTGGAAGACGGCCAAAAGCACCAAACATTGGGTAAAAGACTGACCTGAAGCTAAGTTACGGCCTAATTGGGCACGAGCCTCCGTCGGGACACTGCTGAGAATACCCCTGGCCAGAAACAACCACCCCTCAGGGAAAGACAGAGGGGGCTCGTCTAGACACTCAAGAATATCAGGGGAGGAGGCATGCGAGCATGCGTCGAAGTCAACCGCTCACTCTTTGCCATCTTTCGGAAGTCCATTCCTCGTGCATATTTCGGTTTCTTGCGCGCACTTGTTCCTCAAGATGACCCAAAAGGCTCTTCGATGGTCCAGACCGAGAACCCATGCACACGTCCCAGCGCTGCCGAGACTCTGGTCTGAGATCAGCGAGGGCCAAAAACAGCGAGGTAGAGTGGAGGGAGGCAGCTGGCCCGCAAAGGCCCAGCGACTACAGTGGAGGCCAGTCCACAAGAAACCTTCCACAAAAAAAAACCCTGAGACCCCAAGACGTCTATCGATGTTCAGCGTGGGAACGCCGGGCTCTCCATCGCAAAACCATCTAAACCCAAGAAACCCAGGGCACCCTGGAGGCAAGCAGGGTGTTTCTTGGCATGGGCCCCCACTGTAGGAGGACCAGCGGTGGGCGCGGTCCGCGGGAGCGTGAAGACAACGGGGCGCCACGATCGCGAGTTGGCAACCTTTGGTTCGAGCGTGGAACGTAAAGTGCAGATGAAGAAGACGCCACGGCGTTGGGGTGCCGTAACTGTAGTGTGACAGACCGCGCGGCGACCTCGAACCCCCTCGGGGATCGACCCAAGTCGTCAGAGGCATCCGGATCGACCTGAGTCTCAAAACAGGGCGGTCATCCCGAATCCCCACCGGCTCACCTCGCGGTGTGGTCACCGCAGCGTGCAGGGGCCGGGGGGGTTGGACTGCGACGCACTCTGCTGCGACAAGCGTTTCGCACGAGACATCCTCAACAAATCCTCATGTTGGACATCCGCCTGGGCGACCTGGACACGTAAAATCAAGCGTCTCGCTCGAGACATCCTCAAAACATCCTCATGTTCGACATCCGTCTGGGCGACCTGGACACGAGAAAACAAGCGTCTCGCTCGAGACATCCTCAACAACATCCTCATGTTCAAAATCCGTCTGGGCGACCTGGGCACATGGAAACAAGCGCTCCGCTCGAGACGTTCTCAACACCTCCTCATGCTAGACATCTGCCTGGGCAACCTGGACGCGTGAAAACAAGCGTTTCGCTCTAGACATCCTGCCCAAATTCTTGTGTTTGATATCCGCCTGGGCGACCTGGACACATGAAAGCAAGCACCTCGTTCGAGACGTCCTCAACACATTCTCATGCTAGACATCTGCCTGGGCAACCTGGACACGTGAAACCAAGCGTCTGGCTCGAAATATCCTCTGAATTCTGGTCCCCAAGAGAAGAACAGTCCATAACACAAATCCGCCGACCCCTTGTGGGTCTCTAGGCGTGTGAGATAGTTCCCCCCCCATAATCCCCCCCCAGGGACCCCAAACCGGAGATTTGACCCCCCCCCCCCGGGCCCAGTATGAGCGCGTCACGGGGCTCTTTCGGGCCCAAAAGGGGATCAAGACAGGCCCAGAAGGCTCCAAGAGGCATCCAAGACGGCCCACGAGGGGCCCGAGACGCCAAACGAGCGCTCCCAGACGCCCAAGATGGCCCCAAGACGAGCCTAAAGGCCTCCAAGACGGCCCAAGAGGTCCCCACGAGGCCCCAAGAGGCCTCCAAGATGCGTCCCAAGAGGGTCCCTACGCAAAAATTGGCCCATTCCCTTCGTAAAACGTATAATTTTCACAAATTCGCTTTCTGGGCTTTCCGACGCTCCAAGACGGCCGAAGAGGCCCCGAAAACCGCCCCAAGACGGCCCAAGAAACCTCCAAGAGGGTCCCAAGATAGCCCAAGAGGGCCCCAAGACGGCCCAACAAGCGTCCAAGACGGCCCAACAGGGCCCCGAAAAGGGCCCCAAGAGCGCTCCAGGAGCGCCCAAAGTGGCCTCCAAGAGAGCTCAATATGGTCCCAGACAGCCCAAGAGCGATCAAAGACACCGAAGATGGCCTCCTGACGGCCCAAGATGCCCCCAAGAGGCCCCAAGAGGCATCCAAGATGCGTCCCAAGAGGGCCTCTAGACGCAAAAATTATCCCGGCAAAGCAACCTAACAGCGATGTGTAGAAGCATATCTGAAAGCATTCCCCTTAAGATTCAGATGAAAATCCAGTTGTCGAATTCTGCTGTTCTCGCAGTCGTAGTCGCATTCGCGATGACAGTCGCAGCGGCAACGGCAGTCGCAGTCACAGCCTCCTCTTTCTCCTGCTCCTCCTCCTCCTCCTCCTCCTCCTCCTCCTCCTCCTCCTCCTCCTCTTCCTCCTGCTCGTCCTCGTTCTCGTCCTCCTCGTCTTGCTCGTCCTCCTCCTCCTGGTGCTCTCCTCCTCCTCCTCCTCCTCCTCCTCCTCCTCCTCCTCCTGGTGGTCCTCGTTCTCCTCCTCCTGGTGCTCTCCCCCCCCCTCCTCCTCCTCGTCCTCCTCCTCCTCCTCCTCCTCGTCCTCCTCCTCCTCTCCTCCTCCTCCTCCTCCTCCTCCTCCTCCTCCTGGTAGTCCTCCCCCTCCTCCTCCTCCTCCTCCTCCTCTTCCTGGTCGTCCTCGTTCTCGTCCTCCTCGTCTTGCTCGTCCTCCTCCTCCTGGTGTTCTCTCCTCCTCCTCCTCCTCCTCCTCCTCCTCCTCCTCCTCCTCCTCCTCCTCCTCCTCCTCCTGGTGGTCCTCGTTCTCCTCCTCCTGGTACTCTCCCCCCCTCCTCCTCCTCCTCGTCCTCCTCCTCCTCCTCCTCCTCTCCTCCTCCTCCTCTCCTCCTCCTCCTCCTCCTCCTCCTCCTCCTCCTCCTCCTCCTCCTCCTCCTCCTCCTCCTCCTCCTCCTCCTCCTCCTCCTCCTGGTACTCCTCCCCCTCCCCTCCTCCTCCTCCTCCTCCTTCCTGGTCGTCCTCCTCCTCCTCGGCTCGTCCTCCTCCTCCTCCTGCTCGTCCTTCTTCTCCTGCTCCTCCTGCTCCTCGTCCTGCTCCTGCTCGTCCTCGTCCTCCTGGTCTTGCTCGTCCTCCTCCTCGTCGTGCTCTTGCCCCTGCTGAAAATGTGGCCCAGGAATGGGAGTTCTGGGAAGTCGAAGAGCACGAAGTTGCCTACAGTTGGCTACGGGCATTCAAAATGTGGCCCGGGAATGGAGTTCTGGGAACTCGAAGAGCACGAAGTGGCCTACAGTTGGCTCCGGGCATTCAAAATGTGGCCCGGGAATGGAGTTCTGGGAACTCGAAGAGCACGAAGTGGCCTACAGTTGGCTCCGGGCATCCAAAATGTGGCCCGGAAATGTTCTGGGAACTCGAAGAGCACGAAGTGTGTGACTGTTGCATTCCAGAATGTGGCCCGTTCTGGGAACTCGAAGAGCACGAAACTGTTGCATCCGGAAGATGGCGTTCTGGGATCTCGAAGAGCACGAAGTGTGTGACTGTTGCATCCGGGTATTCAGAATGTGGCCTGGGAATGGAGGGAAGAGCACGAAGTGTGTGACTGTTGGTGAAAAACGAGCCCGGCACCCTGCCGCCCGGCAACTCCCCAACACCTGCCCGGACCCCCCTGTGGAGTGATCTGTGAGCTCTTTTGAGTCAACTAGAAACCTATCAGTCTTCGCTGTTAGGTAATTAGCCCGTTCCCTTCGTAAAGCGTGCGTTTTTCACAAATTCGCCTTTTGGGCTTTCCGACGCTCCCAGACGGCCCAAGAGGCCCCCAAGACCGCCCCAAGACGGCCCAAGAAGCCTCCAAGAGGGCCCCAAGACAGCCCAAGAAGGCGCTAAGACGGCTCAAGAGGCGCCGAAGACGGCCCAAGAGAGCCCCGAAGACGGCCCCAAGAGCGCTCCAAAAGGCTTCCAAGAGAGCTCAACATGGTCCCACACGGTCCAAGAGCGATCGAAGACACCCGAAATGGCCTCCAGATGGCCCAACACGCCCCTGAGAGGCCCCCAAGATGCGTCCCAAGACGGTCCCTGGACGCAGAAATGTAGTTATTCCCGTCGTAAAACGTGCAATGTTCACACATCCGCCTTCTGGGCTTTCCGACGCTCCTAGACGGCCCAAGAGGCCCCGAAAACCGCCCCAAGACGGCCCAAGAAACCTCCAAGAGGGCCCCAAGATAGCCCAAGAGGGCCCCAAGACGGCCCAACAAGCGTCCAAGACGGCCCAACAGGGCCCCGAAAAGGGCCCCCAAAGCGCTCCAGGAGCGCCCCAAGTGGCCTCCAAGAGAGCTCAATATGGTCCCAGACAGCCCAAGAGCGATCAAAGACACCGAAGATGGCCTCCTGACGGCCCAAGATGCCCCCAAGAGGCCCCAAGAGGCATCCAAGATGCGTCCCAAGAGGGCCTCTAGACGCAAAAATTAGCCCGCTCCCTTCGTAAAGCGTGCGTTTTTCACAAATTCGCCTTTTGGGCTTTCCGACGCTCCCAGACGGCCCAAGAGGCCCCCAAGACCGCCCCAAGACGGCCCAAGAAGCCTCCAAGAGGGCCCCAAGACAGCCCAAGAAGGCGCTAAGACGGCTCAAGAGGCGCCGAAGACGGCCCAAGAGAGCCCCGAAGACGGCCCCAAGAGCGCTCCAAATGGCTTCCAAGAGAGCTCAACATGGTCCCACACGGTCCAAGAGCGATCGAAGACACCCGAAATGGCCTCCAGATGGCCCAACACGCCCCTGAGAGGCCCCCAAGATGCGTCCCAAGACGGTCCCTGGACGCAGAAATGTACTTATTCCCGTCGTAAAACGTACAATGTTCACACATCCGCCTTCTGGGCTTTCCGACGCTCCTAGACGGCCCAAGAGGCCCCGAAAACCGCCCCAAGACGGCCCAAGAGGCCCCCAAGACGGCCCCGCGACGGTCCAATATGGCCCCAAGACGGCCCAAGAGGTCCCCAAAACGGCCCAAGAAGGCTCCAAGACGGCACCAAGAGGGGCCCAAGAGGGCAACCAACAATTCAAAAATCTAGTTTTCCGCCCCCACGAGCCCCAGGGGGCCCCAAGAGTGCCCCAACAGGCCGCCAACGGCCCTCAAGAAACCGCCAAGACGCCCCAAGGAGCCCACAAGAGGCCCCCAGGAGGCCCCCAAAAGACCCCCAGACGCTTCCGTATTGCGAGCCGTCACGCCAACTGCAATGCACTCCGCGCATACAACCTTACTCTTCCTCGCGACGTGCTCACTATCTTGCTCGGCGCTAATGTGCTGCTGCCGCGCGAACTGTTTCGTGCGCGCTGCGAACGTCAACAGCCTCTTCACCCGTTTCGATTCATCTGCCACATCTTTCGCTGTGATGCTTCGCTGATCACAGCTTCCACACACTACTCTTGCTCCTTTCGTCTTCCCGTGCTCCTCCACTTGGTTGCGGGTCGAAAGGCCGACCTTCCAGAAGGACACCCCGCACCCGGGTGCACAGCACGCGAAGCGCTCGCAAAACACGCCCCAGACCACCGGCATCACGCAAACATTTGGACCCCCTACGTATCTGCCACCACCCGCGCGCGACACCGCACCCTCACACAAGACGCCGCTGGCCAGAAACTCCTGGCCTCGCAACACTCACAGAAGGGGTCGGCGGATGTGGCGTAAGCCTGTAGAGTCAAATGTTTCGCTCGAGACATCCTCATTAAATTCTGCAAAACAAGCGTTTCGCTCGAGACATCCGCAACAAACTAAAATGTGTACTTTACCACGTGTTTTACATATCGGAATTTCAAAAACCAACGGCTCGCTTGGAACATCCTCAACTTTCTAACTCGCTGGCCCTACGGGACCTCGTTAGTCATCGCAGAATGGAATCTCCGTCCCTGTGTCAGTCGAGGCCTGGCACTAGGTTTACCACCTAGAGGAAAACACTGGGCCCTAAGCCCTTTCCTGGAAAATGGCCACGTCGGAGCGATGCCGAGTCCTCCTCAGACCAACATCGTGATTTGTCCCTAAACAGCTTGCTGAATGGTGTGCTGTTGTGACCGTGACGAGTTCTGGTCGAGGAACGCGGGCCCAGAGACATCCTCCAGAAAATGTGGTCCAGGCCGTTTCACCTGACAAATCCTCACAACTCTCGTTTCTGAGTTGGCGGGGATTGGGCATTTCGCCTGAGCCATGAGATCCGAGATGCCGCGCAAGAGGTAGTCTTGCGCATTTCGCCTGAGACACCCTCACTACTCTAGGCTCCGAGACGCCGCGCGAGAGGTCAGCCGCGTTTCGCCTGAGACATCCTCGCAACTCTGAACTCTGAGATGCCGCGCGCGAGGTGGTCCAGCGCGTTTCGACGGAAACATCCTCAACACTCCAGGGGCTCCGAGAGGGAGGAGGAAGGAGGGGTCAGACAGAAACGATCAACTGTATTATACTTACGTTGTCAAGTTGTGTTCTGGGGAAGTTCTGGGCGCTGCCTGATCCATCCTCGCATGCCGCCCGAGAGGTGGTCCAGCCCTTTTCGCCCAAGACATCCTCGCAACTCCGAGCTCTGAAATGCCGCGCGCGAGGTGCTCTGGCCCCATTTCGTTTGAGACATCCTTGCAACTCTGGGCTCCGAGATGCCGCGCGAGAGATTGTTTGGCGCGTTTCGTCTCAGACTTCCTGGGCAACTCTGAACTCGGAGATGCCGCGCGACAGGTGGTCCAATGGTCCAGCCCATTCCGCCTGAGACATCCTCGCAACTCTGACCTCAAAAGCGCCGCGAGCGAGTTGGTCCGGTGCATTTCGCTTGAGACAGCATCGCGTTTCTCAGCTCCAAATGTTGCACGCGAGGTGGTCGGGCGCGTTTCGCTTAAGACATCCTCGCAATTCTGGGCTCCGAAAGAGAGGAGGGAGGAGGGGTCAGACCCGACATACCAATGTATCGCACTTATATTGTCGAATTGTGCTCTGGGAAATGTCTGGGGAACGCCTGATCCATCCTCGCATGCTGCTCGAGATGTGGTCCAGCCTTCTTTGGTCTGAAACATCTTGGCACTGTGAAAACCACGTGTCCTGCGCGGGCTGGTCGAGCACGTTTCGCCTGAGGCATCCTCGTAACTCTGGGGTCCGAGATGCTCCGCGCAGAGTGGTCCAGCCTGTTTCGCTTGAGACATCTGTGGCATCACCACCATTGCGGACTCCAGGATGCCGCGCGCAAAGCGGTTCGTCGCGTTTCGCCCGACACGCACTCGCAGTTTTGAGCTCCAACAAGATGCCGCGCGCAGTGGTCCAGCGTTCTTCGCTTGCGACTTCCTCGCATTCTCAACTCCGCAATGTCGAGCGCGAGGTGGTCGGGCGCGAGGACGGGTCACCCCCAGAAAAACAACTTGGCTCCACTTCTGTCATCGAATTCTGTGTGGGAAAGGTCTGGGCGCCGCCCGATCAATCGTAAGAACTCTGAAAGACTGGATGTCGCGCGTGGGGTGGTCCAGCCCGCTTCGACCAACACATCCTCGCAGTGCTCGGTTTCGCGAGGCCGCGCGCGAGGTGGTCGGGCGCGACTCGGGTGAGACATCCTCGCAAATCTGGGTTTCAAGAAAAAAACCTTCGCGGGGTGGTCGGGCGAGTTTCGCTTGAGACAGTCTCGCATCGCTGGGCTCCGAGATGGTTTGCGCGCGGTGGCCCAGCGCGTTTCACCCGAGACATCCTCGAAACCCTGGGCCCCGAGAGTGGGGAGGGCCGAGGGGGAAAGGGTCAGACCCAAATGAACCACTCGATTACACTTCCATGGTCGAATTGAAGTTCGGGGTGGCCTTTGGCGCCTCTGACCCGTCCGACGGAAGAGGCAGCTGGCGCCCAGGCGCGAGCGCGATTCCTTGATTGACTCCAAAGGCTGCTCGGGGGGGGGGGGGGGCACGCTTGAGCGATGCCTCGAGCGAGGGCGCGGCGGGCACACGGAGGCGGCATGACCCCCGGCATGGCGGAGGAAACGAAGGAGGAGAGGAGGGGCACGGAAGAGGACCAGGATAGGGAGGAGGAGGATGGGGGGGACTGCGAAGACGTGGAGGAGGATGAGAAGGGTCCTTACGCTGATGCCGATGCCGACGCTGATGATTATGCTGACGAGGATGCAGACGCCGCTGACAATAACAATGATCACGCTGACCATGCTGATGCTGATGATGCTGATGATAATGGTAATGATGACGAGGAGGCTGAAGAGGATAATGTGGATGATGCTGATGATGCTGATGATGATTATGAAGACCCCGCTCCCCAAGGGCAGTCGGAGCCGAAACGAGCGCACCCGCCGCAACTTCTCACTCATCCACGGGGTCAGTCAGCCCCCTTCCCCAGGGTTTCCGCGCCGACGCACCCCAAACTGTATCAGAATAGCGAGTCCTCGGCCCGCCCCGACGCGACGAGATGGCCCGCAGCCGTCGCTGCGCAAGCCGTCGTAAGTGAAGAAGAGCTCGCCTTCCACCAGGGGCGGGGGCACGTCCTCCTCGCCCTCCACGTCGAAAGGCAACCGCTCCACCACACCGTCACAGTTCGCAGGCAGGCTGCGACTGGGGACGTCAGGCTCCAACGCGTCGCCGTCCCCGCTCTCCGTCGCACGACCTGGCAGCTTCCGCGGCCGCGACGCCCGTACCCGTGCGCGGGATGGCCGAGTCGGGCGGGGACTCGACCAATGTCCGCGCGGGCGGGGCGCCGCCCACAGCAGGCCCGCCATGCGGCTCGAAGCCGAACCTGTCCAGCATGCTGCGGGCCCGCGCGAACATGCCCGTCTCGAATACCTTGTAAAGCGCCTCCCAGCTGCGCAGCTGAGCCTCCACTTCCAGGATGTGGCGCATCATGCGGTGGTCCAGCACCAACTCGTTCTGCAACGTCTTGTCGACGTGCTCCGCAACGCCGTCCAGCTCGGACCCGAGGGCCTCGGGCCCCTGCTGCTCGTCCCAGCGCCGCCCCCCGACACGTGTGCATCCAGCCCGTTCAGCTTGGCGTCGTCGGCGAACGCATCCTCGACGACCCCGTCCGCGCGATCGTCGGCGTGCGCAGTCGTCTCGGCCCCCTGGCTCGAAGAGCCTAGCTCGGCCAGCAGCACATCTGTCCGCGCCCACCCCGACACGCACGGCTGAGCGCCTGACCGCGGCGGCGTCCAGGAGGAAGGCGGGCGACAGGGCACCGCATCGCGGCGCAGCCCAGGCGCACGCCGCACTCCCAGCCAACGCCTCTGGCCGCTGAGCTCCAGCGCGGGCTCCGCGACGCAGACCCCCAACTGGATGCCAAAAGCGACGAGCGGTTCGTGCCTCGCCTTCTCGCCGTCGCCCTTGATCTCCATGCCCCAATGCACAAAGTCCATGTCCACGTCCAGCGTCTTGGCCACCGCGCGCAGCGCATCGCCCAAGCGATGCATGTGGCAAGCAAGTGCGACGTCAGCCGTGTGGTGCAGCATCAACGCCTTGCCAAGGCGATCCCCCAGGGCCGCCGCCAGGGCCTGCGGGGAAGCCAACTCCGCCACAGCTGCAATGGCTCAAACCACAGCCGTGTCTCCGTCCCGCAACTGGGCACGCTCCCTGCGCAGCGTGCGCGCCAGCATGGTCGCCGAACATCGGGCCCAGGCCTGCCCACTCAGTGGCCCTACTCCAGGCGCCGCCCCAGGGGGCGCCCGAGGACCTCTAGCAGCCACAATGCTCGCACCGCCCGCCAAGGGGGGTTCGAGTCAGGCTTGAGCCAACATGGCTACAGGAGATGACGACGATGATGATGAGGAGGGGGAGGAGGATAAGGATGCTGATGGTGTTGATGATGATGGTGTTGATGCTGCTGCTGGTGATGAGGATGATGACGATGATGATGATTGTGATGAAGATGAGGCTGGAGATGATGCTGATGCTGATGATGCTGATTATGGTGATGATGATGACGATGATGCTGATGCTGATGATGACGATGGGGATAGGAGGAGGAGGAGGAGCTATGCGAGGGTGGAGAGGAGCAGGAGGATAACCCCATGCCCACGATAATACTGCACCCCCCCTTAAGTCGTTAGAGTTTTTTATAGACGACCAATAAGAGTTTGGTCGGGGGCGCGGGGGCGCGGAGGCCGAACGTCATTATCACTGGGAAAGTTCGCCATCGAGGTTACTTCCTTCTCATGCTTCTCGTGCTCTTCCTCCTTCTCATCATTATCATATTTCTTGTTCTTCTTTCTGTATCTCTCTCTTTCTATCTATTTTTCTTCTTGTCTCTCTGACCCCCCGAACTTGTTTATCGCTGGGGTTGATTATCCTGGGAAAACTAAGCACACGAGCTACCCTACACGAGCAGATGAAAATGTTAATTGTCATTAAGCGTTTACAAATTAAATCTAATAAGTTTTGAACTTTGGATTGTTGCTTCTTCCTCTTCCTCTGCTTTCCCTGCTCTTCCTCCTTCTCATCCTTCTGCTCTTTCTTTTCTTCTTTCTTTATCTCTCTCTCTCTCTCTCTTTCTATGTATTTTTCTTCTTGTCTCCCTGCCCCCTGAACTTGTTTATCGCTGTGGTTGATTATCCTGGGGGAACTAGGTAGGCAGAGCGAGCAGATGGAAACCTTAATTTCCATTAAGCGTTTACACATTAAATCTAGCAAGTTTTGAACTGTGGATTTTCGCTTCTTCCTTCTCCGCTCCTCTCTCCTCCTCCTGCTCCCCCTGTTCTTATTTTTCCTTATATATATGCATGTTCTTTGGATTTCCTTCTCTCTGGCAGCTTGATATCTCTTTATGCTGGCTCTGGCGGGCAACTTTCATTATCCCCCAACAAACCCCGAACTTCATTATCCTTTAGGGTTTATTATCGGGGGCATGGGGTTAATCACTGCGAAGAGGAGGAGGAGGAGGAGGAGGAGGAGGAGGAGGAGGAGGAGGACGAGGACGAAGCACACGAGAAGAGACACAAGGAATACAAGGGGAAGCACGGCGAACAAGGGGAGGAGGAGGAGGAGGAGGAGGAGGAGGAGGAGGAGGAGGAACAAACACGAAAATGATAAGTGCGATGAGGAGGTAAAGGATGAGGTTAAGGAAAACGACGAGGAATACCACCAGGAGGATGAGGCGGAGGACGAGGATGAGAAATATGAGGAAGTATAGAAGGAGGAGGAAGAGGAGGAGGAGGAGCAGGCGGAGGATGACCAAGAGGACCAGGAGGATCAGGGTAAGGAGGATGACGAGAAGGAAGAGTAGGAGAAGGAGGAGGAGGAGCGGGAGGCAGGTGGGGGATGGGGATTATGAGGAGGCCGGGGAGTGGAAGGGTCAGGGGACGACGACGACGACGAAAAGCTCGGCGACGATGTCGAAAGTGCAGGAGCCAGGTGGACGCGCGACCACTCTGAGGAACCGCTTTGGCTCAAAAGTGCTGCTGGGGGATACGGCCAGACCTCAGACAGAATACCGTCCCTCAAGAACACGAGACCCTCCGCCAGCCAACCTGAAAGCCATTCGAGGGTAGCCTCCCCCAGGATGCACGAAGAACATTCAACAATCACAGAGAGCATCAGGGTACTGTCAAAAACCCTAACAAGGACGCCCGGTAAGGACGCAAGACCCTTGGAAGCCGAAGTTGGGATTCTTGGGGCGGCGGACGACGAAAACCTCAAGGACGCCAGAGCAAGGAAGAGCAAGGACGCAAGGGTACCCTGAGCAAAGTCGCGCGTCCTTACTAGGGTTTTTGACTGTACCCTCCCCGAACCGACTTCGATCTCATACCTCGGCCCTCCCGCATTGGCTTCCGGCCGCACCTCTTCGGCGGCCCGCTCCCCGAGGCCTGCACCCCTCCCCGGCAGCGGGCGTGTCCCGGGCCGCTCCTCCACGGCCTCTTCCGGGGCCCCGCGTGGGCCCCCGAGGGCCGACAGCCTCCCCGAGACCTCCCGTCGGGACTCGGAGTCCCGTGCGGGACCTGCTCTGGGACAAGATCGGGGGCGGCCAGGAGGGGGGTGTCCAAGAGGGGGGGGTGCAAATCATGACCGGCGGCACGTGCGCGGCCCAGCGGGGGAGCCAGGGACGCAATGAAAGAAGAAGAGGCGCCACGATATCTGGGGACATATCATGGCCCCCGCCATGATATCCCCCCCCCCCCCTGGTCATCACCCCCCGCTGGGCCGCCCCCCAAGGGTACCCTCCCCGAACCGACTTCGATCTCATACCTGGGCCCTCCCGCAACTGGACTCCGGCCGCACCCCTTCGGCGGCCGGCGCCCCGAGGCCTGCACCCCTCCCCGGCAAAGGGGCGTCCCGGGCCGCTCCTCCGCGGCCTCTTCGGGGGGCCCAACGTCGGGCCCCCGAGGGCCGGAAGCCTCCCCGCTGGCCGTCGCTCGGACGTCCATTCCGTGTGCTTTCTTCGGTTTCGTGCGTGGTGTTTTTCGCCAAATGATCAAGGATGCTCCTCGATGGTCCTCGCCGAGAAAAAAATGCACACGTCCGAGCGATGCCAGGCCCGAGACCTCCCGTTGGGACTTGGAGTCCCATGGTGGTCCTCGCCAGGCCCCATGGCCGTCAAAGCAAGACTCAGGATGAAAAGCCGGTCCCACGAACTGGGTCGATGTTCCCCGTCCTGGCCGTCTTGGGGCCCTCGGGAGGCTCCAACAGGCTCCAGGAGGCCCCATGCGGGACCTGCTCTAGGACAAGAACGTGCAGTAGACGGACCTACCCTTTCTCTGGCCGTGCGCTGCGCCGAGCGCAGCGGTCGCGTTGTCCATGGACGCCTCCGCCCGGAAGGCGTCTACAGAGGTCACAGCACCCGGTGTGCCCATTGGACGCTTCTGGCTAGATCGTGAGAGCGGCATCTGGCATCGGCCCCAGCTGCTCGTCTCCTAGAGGCAGGCAGACCTGGCCCTCCAACCCCCACCGATCATCGACTCTCCTGCATCGGTGAGAGGCTGGGGTTAGGCCTCGGACCCCCTGCGCCAACAATGTCTGGCCCCCCTCCACTCCCACCCCCCCTTCAGGAGGAAGGGGAGGACGAGGATGACGAGGATGCCGAGGAGAAGGAAGAGCAGTCCTAGGAGGAGGAGGAGGCGGAGGAGGAACAGGAGGAGGAATACGAGGAGGGGGAGGAGAAGGATGAGGAGGAGGAGGAGGAGGAGGAGGAGGAGGAAGAGGAGTGTTCGACGAGTTCCGAACCAACGCCGCCCATGTAAATGCCCGAAACGTTGATCGGCGAGGGCAGGACAGGGAGAGAGCCCAGAATCGCATCGGCGAGTCGGCTCGGCGATCGACTTGCCTCGGATCGGCGGACACCGGCAGCCGAGTCGGGGAAAAAGTCGAATCGGCGGAGATCTGCAGGCCAGGAAGTATTACCAGCCTCGAACGTATCCCTATCCCTAAGATTGACACGCCAAAAGGCGACGACGATCTTAGGGATTCAAGAAGGGAATCCCTAAGATTGGCATCGTGATAAGGAGGTGCCCAGCATAGGGATAGGGATATGTTCCAGGCTGGTAACGAATCGGGAAACATCGATTCGGCGGAGATCTGCAGGCCAGGAAGTATGCCTCCAAGGAGAGACCGCAACCCGCATCGGAACCCCGAGCCGATTCGAGCCGCAATCGGAGGCCACCGAAACATTCGAACCCAATCGAATCGGAGGAATCGAAGCGAGCGCTGGGGCAGGGTTCGGATGTCTGAATAACGTTTCACCGATCCCCATCCCCAGCGGCGCGGCCTGGGCCACACTGGCCGATTTACCCCCACAGATGGGGACATGGGTCGTTCCCTTCGGGTTTCGAGGGGTGCATCCCAAACTGGGGTGATAATTTGGTGGGGGCCTCGAAGGGGATGGGGATGGGGATGGGGATGGGGAGGAGGAGGAGGAGGAGGAGGAGGGAGGAGGGAGGAGGAGGGAGGAGGAGGAGGAGAGGAAGAGGAGGAGGAGGAGGAGGAGGAGGAGGAGAAGGAGGAGGAGGGGAGGAGGAGGGGGAGGAGGAGGAGGATGAGGATGGGGAGAGGAGGAGGAGGAGGAGGAGGAGGAGGAGGAGGAGGAGGAGGAGGAGGAGAAGGAGGAGAAGGAGGGGGGGGGATGGGGATGGGGATTGGCTAATTTCGCCGCCGAGCGAGGATGTCGGACCAGAGTCGTCGGCTGTGGCGCCCTCGCCGGGGCCTCGGACGGCCGCTAAGTGGCGATGCGGGCTTCTTGGGGGTGGTGATCCCCCCCCCTGGGGTCGGGTGTTACTACAAGTACCCCTGGCCCAAGGTACCCCCAGGATTCTCGGGGTGGCCCAACCGGCCGCTGCGGGGCGATCCGGACTCCACCGGAGCCGCCTCAGGCTCGGAATCGGAGTGGGGGGGTCTTGGGGGTCGTGATCTCGCCCCTGGGGTCGGGTGTTACTAGAAGCACCCCTGGCCCAAGGTACCCCCAAGATCCTCGGGGTGGCCCAAACGGCCGCTGTGGGGCGATCCGGGCTCCCCCTGAGCCGCCTCAGGCTCGGAATCGGAGGGGGCAGGTCCTGGGGGTGGTGATCCCCCCCATGGGGTCGGGTGTTACTGGAAGTATCCCAGGCCCTGGCCCAAGGTTCCCCCAGGATTCTCGGGGTGGCCCAAACGGCCTCCCAGGCTCCCCTCACGAGACAGAGAGGGCCTGCGGGGCTCCAAGATGGAACGAACAGCTGGGGGCACCTCGGGACAGGGGAACATCTAGCAACACCCGATGGGGGGGAGCACCGTGGCGATCAGGATTCGGGACTATGGTACTGGATCCCGCACCTTACGGGGGTGCACCCCTCCCTGGGAGAGAGTTTCGGCTCCAGAGCGTCAGCGTCGGCGTCGTCGACGCCATCGTCGTCGTCGCCGCGGTCGCCGTCGTCGTCGTCGCCGCCGTCGCCGTCGTCGTCGTCGCCGCCGTCGCCGTCGCCGTGGCCGTGCCCGTCGCCGCCCGTCGCCGCCATCGTCGTCGTCGCCGTCGTCGTCGTCGCCGCCGCCGTCGCCGTCGTCGCCGACCCTCTTCGGGGTCGGCGGCGCCAGGCGTAAGGCCTTCGCGGGATTGACTTGGCATCGGCGGTACCTCGCCGGCAGGCCAGCGAGTGCGGAGCCGCACCTCCCCATGGCCAGGCGTGGGGCGCTCGTGCCACCCTCGGCGGCGAGTGGGCCCACTGGGTGTCGAGGCGTCCCCCCCCAAGGAGGAGGAGGACGAGGAGAGCGATGAGGAGGAGGACGACGACGACGAAGAGGAGGAGGACGACAACAACGACGAGGAGGCGGACGACGAGGAGGAGGAGGAGGAGGAGGAGGAGGAGGAGGAGTAGGAAGAGGACGAGGACGACGAGGCTCCCGGCCATGGAGGGTGGCGCCGAGCGGCTGGTGGCTCCAGAGCCTGCAGTCAAAACTGATGGTAAGGACGCGCGATAAGGATGCAATGGCCTTGGACGCCCATGCCCAAGCTTTTAGACTGGGGCTGGCCATCGAATGTGCACGAGGATGGACCGAAGATGACCGAATAGGCAAGGATGCAAGGGCGTCCTCGCGAAATCGATCATCCTTACTGTCGCTTTCGACTTCATCCCATCCTAGCGTTGCCCCTGAGTTGAAGAAGCACCAAGTGTGCGGACGAGGACGAAAGAGTAGCACGCTGGCGGTCGACAAAACGGCGGCGACGCGCCTTGAGATATACTCCGTCTCCCTCCCGAGGTGAAAAAGCAAACGCCCCAGCGTCCGCGCAGCAACGCCGCGTAGCTGCCCCTGGGGGTGCCATTGGCAGGCGTCGCTCACGGTGCCCCGCGACGGCGGCGGCGACGACGACGGACGCGGAGGAGGAAGAGGACGAGGAGGAGGAGGAGGAGGAGGAGGAGGAGGAGGAGGAGAATGGGGAAGAGGAGGAGGAGAGAAGAGGAGGAGGATGGGGAAGAGGAGGAGGAGGAGGAAGGAAGAGGAGGAGGGAGGAGGAGGATGGGGAGGAGAAGGAGGAGGATGGGGAAGAGGAGGAGGAGGAGGAGGAGGAGGAGGAGTGAGGAGGAGGAGGAGGAGGAGGAGAAGGAGGAGGAGGAGGAGGAGGAGGAGGAGAAGGAGGAGGAGGAGGAGGAGGCGGCGGCCCCTCTGGGGGCCTCCTCGGGGGGACCGTCTATCATGTCGCCGGGCGGCTCCTCGTCTTCGCGCGCGGGCGCGCCGTGGCCGTGGGCCTCCCGGGCCCTCCCCGCGGCGGGGCGGTGGGGCGGGGGCGGGAGGGAGGGGGGGAAGCGCCCCATGCAGAGTGGGGGGAGGAGGGAAGGGTGGCCATGACGCTGGGGGGGAAGAGAAGGGTGACCATGACCATGACGCTGGGGGGCAAGAGAGTATACCAATTGGGCGACCATGACCAGTTGGCACTTAGCTCGCATCGGGCCCGTATTACCCCTGCGTATGTGTGTCTGTTCCATCCAGAGGAAGCGCAGCATGCAGCGTGGGACCCTGGGGTGGAGGAAAGAGAACTATGCACATACACCGATTCTGGCCAGGCCCACCCTGAGCCCAGGATCGGTGCATACGCCATCCTGCCTTGGCCAGGAGGGGAGGAAACGCAGCATGCAGAGTGGAGGGAAAAGGAAGGGTGACCATGACCCAGGCCGGGCGAAAGGGGGGGATCGCAAAGGGGGGGTTTGAGAATCAGCTCACGTAGCTGATTTTCCCGGCGCCTCCCGGCGCCGGAGGCGGCCATATATTTGGGGGATGGGCCCCTCGGTGGGGCCGAAACCAGCTGCATAGAGCAAATTTCGTAACCCCCCCTTTCCCAATCCACCCCTTCGTCCGGCCAGAATGACGCTGGGGGGGAAGAGAAGGGTGACCATGACCAATTGGTGCTTAGCTCGCATCGGGCCCGCACCCCTGCGTGTGTGTGTGTGTGTGTGTGTGTGTGTGTGTGTGTGTGTGTGTGTGTGTGTGTGTGTGTGTGTGTGTGTGTGTGTGTGTGTGTGTGTGTGTGTGTGTGTGTGTGTGTGTGTGTGTGTGTGTGTGTGTGTGTGTGTGTGTGTGTGTGTGTGTGTGTGTGTGTGTGTGTGCGCGTGCGTGCGTGTGTGTGTGTGTGTGTGTGTGTGTGTTCAATCCATCCTGCCTGCGCTGAGCAACCTTTGCGAGCGCGCGACTCCGTTTCGCGCAGGCCTTGCCGTTGTGGTCGTGCCATGCTCGCCTAATCGCCCCTGGCCAAGCCAACAATACCCAAGACTGACTGGAAGCGGAACCGTCGGTGCCGATCTCAGTCACCGTGGGTCTGGGTCACCATCGACTCGTGGATCATCTTCGGGAATTAGCGAAAACCAGCATGGACCATGGCGAAGCTTGACGAGGACAAAATCCAACGATCGGCGGTGGACAAGCCTCCCTTTAGCAAACCTCCCCTTAAAGAAAACGGCCTGGGACCGAAACCGACGGTCCCGGACCCGCAAAAACGACGGCCGCGACGCCCTCTCGCGAACCGAAGTCCGCCAATTCGCTAATCGACGTGTCAGGGTAGAAGGTCTATCCACCTCCGATGAACGAGGACAAGATCCAGCGACATCTCTTTTTTGGGGGCTCTCGGGCCACTGGAATACCTGGCGGGCAATCTTGGCAAGCGCCTGTGGGCCATTGGGCCGCCTCCAGCCTCGCCTAAACATCGGGCCAAACTGCAACGAAAAGGTGACAATAGTACACGTCGGCCGGAAGAAGTAGGTAAAAACATGAAGTAGGAAGGCGGATTACGTTGAATGGGTCCAGGCCCCCCCAGGGAGTAACAAACACAGCAAAAACGTGCCGATTCTTGAAGTAGGAAGGCGCTGGAAATAGATTGGGATCTGGGAATCCAACAATACCTACTTTCAACGACCGGCAACAACATGACTTGCCTGCCCGCCTGCCCCGGCCCTGCGCCTCGTACGCTCGACGAGGATCAGATCCAACGACATCTTGCTCATGTGTCGAGCCGAACTTTGTACACCGATGCTTTTTTTAGGGGGCCAAATGCGAATCCTACCCCTACCCCCCACGATTTCTGAGGGGGAGGCTGGGGTTCACTCCGTTCGGGAGCTCCGAAACGAAGTGAACCCCACCCTCCTCCCCCCTCAGAAATCGTGGGGGGTAGGATTAGGATTCGCATGTGGCCCGCTAATTTTTCTGGTCCCGCAATGGGATTCGCACAAGAAGACGGATTATGGTGTATACGGCATCCTGGTGTATACATGTGTTGTTTCCTCCACGGGAAAAACAGGGGAAAACAATATGCACCACCCGACGTCGTCCCGGAAAAAGGCCTGGGATTGACCCTCCACCGGTAATGTGTATGCTCCCGTTTCCGATCATGGCCTGCGTCGTTCTTCCCTCGAAGACACAATCTTCGAGGGCCCGCGTTGGACACCCCCTCCGTGGCACAAAGAGCACGCCATGCGCCAGGGGGGCGCCGGAGGCACCGCCAGGGGGGCATGGGCCGAGCGCCGATGCGAGGAAGCCGCGCGGAGCTCTGGGAACGTGTCGTGCACCTATCTCTTCTCGGGGGGGAGGGGAGTGAAGGGGCCCTGGGACACACAAATGAATACACACAAATAACAGGATCCCCCATATTTAGGGGACTGGGACACACACATAAATACACACAAATAACAGGATTCCCGATGGTTTCTTACAGTTTCTGGGTTTTTGTCATCCCCCCCACTGCCCATATTTTCGCACATTCTCTGGGGAGTCGGCGATCCATTGTGTCTGCGTGTGTTTTTGTTCCCTCCTGCTGGACACCCCCTCCCTGGCACAACGAGCACGCCATGCGCCAGCACTGCCAGGGGGGCAAGGCCGAGCGCCGATGCGAGGAAGCCGCGCGGAGCTCTGGAAACGTGTCGTGCACTCCTCCTCCTCCTCCTCCTCCTCTCCCTCCTCCTCCTCCTCCTCCTCTCTCCTCCTCCTCCTCCTCCTCCTCCTCCTCCTCCTCCTCCTCCTCCTCCTCCTCCTCCTCCTCCTCCTCCTCCTCTCTTCTCCGGGGGGAGGGGAGGTGGGGCCAATGGCATCCCCGCGCCGCGAAAAAATCCACGAGGCTACATGTTTGAGAGCTTTCTCTGCTCTCGAAGGCCCTCGCTGGGCCCCTGGGACCGTCAGGAGACGGCTCGGGATGAAGGGCCGCTCCCCGGAGAGGGCGCCTGGGGATGCTGTGGGCCGGGACGGTCCTCCATGACGGCGCGCCCTTAAGTGGGCCCTGGAAACGACAGGGCCGGTTTCTTACCGGTTCCGTTTTGCCGTCTTTTTGCCGGTTCCGACGCCGTTTTTGTTGCCGGCTCCTTCGCCGTTCCTTTACGGGTTCCCGCTCCGGTCCCAATCCTGGAGCCGTTTCTGTTGCCGTTTCCGGTCGCCGTTTGTGTTGCCGTTTCCATCTTCAAGGGGCACTTTTTCGGAAGCGGTGAACAAACGGCCCTGCCGATGTCGGGACCCGCTAAGGGCGCGCCCTTCTCCTGCTCCTGGTCCTCCACCCTCTCCTCCTCCTCGCCACTCCTCCGCGTATCCCATTCTTCTCCTCCTCCCCCTCCTTCTACGATTCCTCCCCACTCGTTCGTATCCTCCTCCTTCTCCTGCTCCTCCTCCTCCTCCTCCTCCTCCTCCTGTTCCCTCTTCCCTCTTCATCCCCAATCGAGTACATCGTCCCGCTTGCTCATCCTCGTCCTCCTCCCTCATCCGCGCCTTGCGCACCGTACCATGTGAAGGAATCGCCAAGGCCGCTCACTCAGAAAATAAAGTACCAATCAAAATCACAGTCGGAGCCTTCTGACGTCCTTGCCCTATCACTCTCCTGAGCCCGCTTCGAAGACAAACAATATTACTATGATCAATACCGAAACGCGCTAGCAGCTCAGCCTCACTCCAGCGCTCCTCCAGCACCAGCGAGCGGGGGGGCATGTGGGGCTTGTGACCCCTCGCTCAGAAAGGCGGTAGAGCTCCTACTGCAGGGAGGCCGCATCGGGCCGATCGCCCAGCATCGATATTGCTCCGCCCAGCTTGGACACAGCCTCCTCTGCGTCGTCCCCTGTGTCGCTTTGCGAATTTGGGTTCCTGGCACCGCTTGGCAAGAAAACTACTGGTCCACATCGCTACCTTGCTCCCTTCAACCACCTGCACTTCTTCGGCATCGGAGACTGGCGCTATCCTGAACACATGTTCTTTGAACAAAATGCGGACTTCCAGCTCGGAGTCTCTGTCCAGCTCCGAAGCGATCGATTGACAAATTGGCCGACTATCTGGAACATTTGGCATCATACAATCCTGAGAAGCCCTGTTAGCCGACCGCCTAGAAATCTTGCGCAAGGCGGCCGTGCGATCTGGAAAATCAATCGTGTCGCGCAGCTGTAATGGACATCCTGGTACCCAATCCAACATCCCAGCTCCCGAGAGAAACCACCAGGGCCGTATATTTACTATTCCATCAACTTTGGCGCGCGCATCTGTTTTACCATTCCCTTGCTTCGAACTCTCAATCGTGCGACCCTTGCAAACATCTATCATCTCGCTGTGTGTTGATACGTTTCGGGCTTGGACCCGTCCTCAAAAACATGCGGGTTGTTTGACACATGCCATTCACGAGTATCAATACACGAAGGTGCGCAATCAGTGTGCACTGCACTGCCACCGAAATAGCACTGCCCTGCCATGAGGGTGGCGCAGTCCTCAGCGCCACAAGACTGCTGGACTGGGCACACGTCGGCGGGCACTGGTCCGTTTGCCGCGCCGGTGGAGCGGCCACACCCGCTCATCACCACCGGTGCCCATCCAAGTCTTCTGAACCATTTTGAAGGGGCCCAGGGACACACAAATAGATAGACACAAATAACAGGAGTCCCCATACTTTCCTATATTTGCTGGGTTTTCTGTTTCCCCCCCCACTTCTTATATTTTTCCATATTTTCCTGGGAGTCGACGATTCACTGTGTCTGTGTGTTTCTTTCCATCCTGAAATTTACAAAGTGGATATGTCGCCGACCCGTCCGAACAACAATCAATTTGCCAATGAGGTCGCCGTCTGCCGGCCTGTGCACCCAACAGACACCGGCCTCCTGGCTCAACAGTGGGTTCGTGACGATCTCCCTTAGTCCTGCTTCCATCGACGTATATCCTGCGCAGCTGCCTGCACGATCTCTGAGCACGTATCCCGACGCTCCAATTTCCAGCCGTCGCACTGGAACCTTTTTGTGACATAGGGATCCCGCTTGTCCTCCGCGTAGTGCGCACATGTGTCAACCAGCTCGCGCGCATGCATCCTGTGTATCGTCCACGTTGTGAGCGCCAATGATGACCGCAGATAGTTCTGATGATGTATCTGCCATCCTGGACGCCCCTGCCCATCACAAAGCTGACGATCTCCATCCCAGAGCACTGGGCGACACCACGTTCGACTACACTCTCTCAATCTCAACACGACGATGTCCGAACGATGTTCCGCAGCCTCGCTGGCCAACTTGCTGAGAGCCACTGGCGAACATAAAAACACACATCGATCTGACCAGAAGGAGTGTGGATGAGGCGAACCGAAATAACTGTCAAGCCAGGCTCCCAGAGAGAGAGAGAGAGAGCAATAGAGAGAAGCAACAAAGCAAAACAACAATATTAAAACGTGCATGCTTGAGCTGGGGAGATCACCCTGGCCCACTTACCAATTGACCTTACAGAGGTCACTCAGAACCTGCAAGTGCAGCTTCGGACACCTCTGGTTTCACGATGCTATCCCAGACGGCCCTCGCCCACTGCAGCACGACCTGGGTGTGGCAATAAGCGTAGGGGTTTATGGCAGAGGCTTGGGACTGGTCTTCATCTTGAGCCCTACAGAGGCTCCTAACTTGTCCTTGTACAAGCTTGTCAAGGGCAGACTTCATCAACCCTCTGACTTGAACTCAAGTGAGCTCAGAACACGAGCATCCCCACAAATAGCCTGCTTAGGGCCCAGTCCTATGCATCCCTCACATCTTGCTTCCAGCCGCCATCAACCTTCTCCTCGCCAATTGGGCCCATTTTGTGGAGCCTCACCTTTACAGTCGGATTGGTTTGCCCCCGTCCTGAAAGCGCATCACATCCTAAGCTTCGCACCGCCACTTTACGATTGAAGCCCCTCATCCGCACCCTCTCTCCTCCTGAATGGGCCCTGGAAACGCCAGGGCCGTTTTTTTACCGGTTCCGTTTTGCTGCTTTTGTTTGCCAATTCCGACGCCGTCGTTTCCGGTTCCGTCGCCGTTCTTTTACGGGTTCTGGCTCCAGTTCCAATCCTGGAGCAGTTTTTGTTGCCGTTTCCGGTCGCCGTGTTTGGCCGTTTCCATTTTCAAGGGACACTTTTTCGGAAGCGGTGAAAAAACAGCCCTGCCGTTTCCAGGGCCCACTAAGCCCTCCTCCTCCTTCTCATCGTCCTCCTCCTCCTCCCTCACTGTCTCCTCCCCTGGGCCCCCTGTTGGCCACCTTCTCGTTGCGATGTCTCGCCCGCCTTCCTGGCCCGCCCGCCTCTTCCTCCAGTCAGGCGCGCGGATGGGCTCCGTCCCTCCTCTCCCTCCTCCTGCATTCCACCGCACATCCCTCCTTCCTCCTGCTCCTCCTCCTCCTCCTCCAGCCTCTCCGTCCCAGGAGGGGCGGGAGAGGAGGGGGGGGGGAACTACGCGCCAGTAGGGACGGGAAACAAGCAGGACAAGAAAGGAGGGGATCCACCGGCCAAAACGCCGCTCTGGACCCCGAAGTGGGCACGATGCCCAACAGCAGATGTTGTCCCGAACCGACCGCGGCAGCCGCTGGGCAGGTGGCCTCCTGTCTCGAATGGACAATGTCCGCGGCGACAC